GGTTTGAAAGTTCCAAACTATATGAACTATTGAATTTAACCCAATATTGTACAAATATTCGGTTAGGTATACTCTCCGGAAAGTGAGATTATTATAACAGTTCATGCATAATTTTTATATTTTTACAGCTTACTTGCCAACTTATCAAGTTTATGAAGCAAATGAATTAAATTGTTGTCGTTTTTACTTACAATTAAATACATAACAAGAAATTGTTTTAATAGTACATGCATAACAACATTCTGTATAAATCAATTAGGATTTCTTGTAGATACAAAATAAACTTAAAATTATTAAAAAATGTTTTATTTCCTTATCGAAACCATTTACTAAGTATATCTTGGCAAATGTCAAAATTTGAAAAATACTATAATATAATAAAATAATAAATAAGAAATTGTCTGTATTTATTTGTGGCATTATAAATGTTATAATTTGGATATTTTGCCATAGTTTGAAGAAAAAAAAACTGGAAAAATAAACCCTTGTACCGATAGGGACAGTCAAGTGTCAATACTGAAAACTTTTGCCTAATAGTGAGATGCCAGAGACATACATCTACATGTATAAGTCTGGTTACGCACTGGAAAAACAAATACACATCACAATAACACTATGACGTTTCTGAAACCTCTAGTTTCGTTATCAAAGCAGAAGTGAATTAGAAAAGTACTGAATATTAGTTTTTCGCTACATTTTCTGTTTAACTAAATAATCTGTTCTCAAAAGTATTGACACTTGACTATTCTTATTTGTATAAGGGTTTACTTTTAACATTTTTAAAATAATATAATATAGAGGATATAAGTGAGAAGTCGTTTCCAAACGATAGATGGCGCTGTAATCAGTTCACAAAGTATAAAGTGTTGCCTACTCATTAGGAGCTAAGTAGTAGTAAGCTTCCAAAAAGTTTCGTGGCGCTGTTTCGCGGTTTAGTGGCAATATTAGGGACATTTCATTCTACGTTAGTACTATATTTTCTATGCTTATGGACAATGTTATATGGTAGGTCGTGACAGTAACAGGTAGTAATGTCATGATAACATTGTTATTGATTGACAGTTTGTATTATTATTTAATTAAAATAGGTTACAAAGAAGTAGAAAATTGAAATATTATTAGGAATTAAAATAGAGAAGAACTTTACTCTATTTTAATTCCTATAATATTTAAATCCTTACGTAATTGGAAAAAAGGCAGAAATGCCTAAAAGAGGTCTAAATTACAAGATGTCTTATTTTTTTAATAAAACCTTCTTTTCGTTTTTTAATAGTATCTCGTTTATTTTTAGAGATTGACCCAACAAACCCTATATGACTATGCTCAAGAGGGAACATTCTATCCAAATTTTGTTTAGACTTCATTTGTTTTTCTACTATCATATTCGAAAACTTCATAAAAAATCGTGCAATTTTGTATTTCACATTTTTTTTATATCTCTAAGAACAAAAAAAGTTCAGGGGGGTCAAAATATAGTGAATCACTCTGTACATACCGAATGTATTTATCAAAAATAACGTTAAATATTTCTTCTCGATCCCATACAACGCGGTGTAATCGATATCATCCGTCGATGATGTAAGTAGCATACCTATGAGTTTTGAGTTTATATTAATTCAGAATCGTATAGTTAGTTTGTATGTATTAGTTGAACAGACCAATATTATTTTTTATATTAAACGTCCGATGATGTATATAAGCGGCGTACGCGTGTATTTTCGATGTTTGAAATGGTTATATCTCAGGCATGGTGATCGTAGGAAAAACAATTTTTGTTTGATCTATTTTTATGATAACACTTACCGTTTATGAGAAAAAAAGTAAAAAACCGATATTTGCGACCTTTGATTTTGAATACATGTTTTAGCACGCATGGGACCTATACCATTATTTAGCTCTACGCGAATTATTGTAAACTTACCACTATTATTTTGTATATTTTGACAGGATTAATATCGATTTGATTGATTTTTATTACGCATTTAATAATCCGCTATTTTCCTTTTAGTCACTGTCAAAAATATCCTCGAAAACTTCAGAATGACAGAATATTGTGCATCTGGAAAATACATGCGAAAAGAAACTTTAATAACCCGTTAAACTATCACTAATTTCTTGACAATCTATCTACGTTTCTAAAGTTTGATAACCAAAATCGAACCACTTTCTATAGTAATCAATTTTAATTATATATTATACTAGATTTTTATAAAAGTTATACTAACCCTTATTCCATGACCCATTATATATTTGCAGGACAATACGAATATTGATGATAACATCAAATTATTTCTCTCAATCAAGCCCATTTCTCCTTTGGTGGATATTAATTGCAAATCATTTGGTTTCTTTCCAACAACTGATGGTATCATTATAAAAACAGTAAATGGTGTTATCAACAACAAAGGCAACAACAGACCCATTAAAATGTATGAACAGAAAGTGTTTATTATTATCAATGTGCCTTGTATAATGTGACTGAAGAAAATTCCGGATGTACCAATAAAAGCTGCTTCCCAAGATATATTCGGAAAAGTAGGTTGATGTCCAAAAGCATAAAAAAAGTACTGTGCTAAAATTATCCATACCAGTATCAATATATTTGGTATATCAAAGAGTTCCTCTGAAAAAAAAAATTTTGTGATGGTAAAGAGTGCCTCACAAATACATCTTGTTTTCTAAATCCACGTTATAACTTCCGAATGCCTTGGATTATTTTAGACCAAAAAGTTGTCGAAAATTTTAAAAATTTCATATTTATTTAAATATCTCTAAGATATTTATTAGAAACACAATTTTAAATATGAAAACTTCAAAAGTCATTAGGTACCGCAGAAATTTTCAATTTTCTGAGGTAAAGCCCCTTTAAATTTAAAAAATATGACAATGATTTTTTTTTTAACTTGATGACAATGATAAATAAAATATAAGTAAACTTCTTAGAAATACCATTAGGAATTAATTTCAATTATTCAAATTGTGCAATTCTTAACAACAAAATCTCTCAGTGTCTCTGCCGTTGATTGATTAATGTGTACATAAATTCAATAAACTTTTGTTATTAATTAGTTAAATTATTAGTAAAGTTCGAACATCTTCAGAGATATTTGAATAAATATGACATTCTTTTGAGGCTTATCACACCATGTCTCGAAAAATCAGTAGCTTTAGACATATTGTCTTAAAATGATCCAAAAAATAACCTCCTGAAGTTATGTAGACTTAAAAATACAATTTACATAAACCTATTTGTTACAACACTTCTGATGTAGTCTACAGTGGAATTTAGTGAAACATTTTTTTTATTCATATCATATTTGGAGGATATTTTAAAAAACTTTTTACATCGGTCTTTGACCACAAGACAAAAATACGATATAAATTAAACAACATGCAGAGTATCCCAATATTCCATGTAATGCAACTACCACAGATTCTTAGGGTCAAAATTAAAAAAATTACTAAACTTAGCCAATAAACGTAGCAATTTTGGATAGATATAAATTTAGTTAAACCGTCTTATTTTGATCCCAAGAATCTGTGCTACATGGAATATTGGAATACCCTGTATTTAAGTTCTTATAGGTACAATTAAATAATGTTTCATATATAGAGTGTAACAAATATCCAGGACCTATCGTTAATATATTCAATTTTTAAAGGTTCTGGGATGATTCAAATGTTGGACATGAAACATATTATTGGTTTATTATTCAAGAACCATTGAAAATGTAAACTTCAGATTTGGTACAAGGTTAAATATATCTTTCTGGCTATCTTTCATTCAACTAAACACAAATTATTGTCCAACTAAATCTCAAGATTCAAGAAGATCTGAAGATCTTAAGATTCTCAAGTAACTTTTTTTCAGAGTTGAAACTCTGGTACTAGAGTCAAATTAGATAATAAACCCTGAAAAATCTGAAAAAATTATTAGTAGACATTTTATTGCACTTTATGACGGGGAAGAGTATGTAGAATGATAATATCAAAACAGTAACTCGAAAGAACTGACGTTAAGTTGGCAAATTGCATATACAGTACAATCTCACTAATCCGGCACCATTAAAAACCTAAGAGTGCCGGAGTACTGGAAAATTCAGATTAATGGAAAATGTATAATAATATTAAATTAAAAAACGTTACTTTTAATTGTTTATTATCAAAGAGATTGATACATAGATACATATATATATATATATATATATTACAGTTGTGTATGCATATATATGTATATTGTAATGTTTTTGTGTTTCTGGAAAATAATCTTTCAACTAAACTAGAACTGTATAAACTGAATTCTTCAAGGATAGTAAAGAAACGCGGAAAAAATAACGCCGGATTACTGGACGTGCCGATGTAGTGAAGTGCCGGATTATAGATATTCTACTGTAATTAGCAAAATTACGTGTTTTTTGACTTTCTTTACTGTCCATGAAAATTTAGACGACATATCGGAAACTTAATTGTTTTAAGTTATAGGCAATTAAATTACCTACAATTTAAGGTAGGTACCTGAAGTCACTTTTCACCTATTTGTTAACTGTAAAATAAAGGTCGAACGTGGAAACATCAGTTTTCGAAAATTGCGCATTATTATTGTATTAAGCGATGGATGAAACAAATCCAAACACCAGCATGTGTGCCAAAGGCCAATTCGATTGACCATAGAGGTTCTCTAATAATCGAGAAACTGCATATGATACCGAAGAATTTACAGAAAATATTTTTGAAGAGACAGATTTTTTACAAGACGAAGACGATGGTGATGAATTCATTCCTGCCAAAAAAGTAGAATTGAATAACAGTAAATCAAAGTTTTTATAAGAACAATAAAAGTGTGTGTTTTTATAAATATAAATCATTATTGCTTTGTATTTTTTTACTGTCCATATCCCTTGAAATTTTTAAAGATTCTTCAATAAAGCAAACAAATTAATTAATTTATAAATATTTAATGTTTAATTTGCGACGGATTAATACCAACCATGTATACTTATTATATATTTTATGATGGTATTGTACTCATCTCGAGGATACCTAAATAATAAAAAAATACAACAAATTGATCGAACGGTTCTCGAGATAGTCATTCATTAACGTTAACTTTTACTGCTGCTAATGCATTTATTACATGAACTATCAATGTAAAACTTTTTGAAAAATAGAAGTGTAACTCTTTCTTTAATCGTCTTTAAAATCCGATACGTCCTATAGTTAATTAACAATTAACGTTATAAATAAAAAATAGTTATACTGGGAACAAGGAGGCTTATGTGATTTTTCTTTTTTGTTTTTTATATACCGTAAAAATAACCTCTATTTAATGCAAAAAGAGCGAATTCCCTAGCGGCTTTTGCCTGACCCTGAAACAATTTGTTTATAACGTTGTTTTGCACGTCCTACGTTGTTCGAAAGTGCGTTGGATCTACGATATTTATTAACTTCTAAAATTAACATTTGGTAATTAAACAACCAGTTGCAAAAAAAACGAACGGAACAATTTCACGGTCAATCGAATCGGCCTTTGGCACACATCTTGGTCTTTGGATTGATCGTCTTTTCCATTTTCATCCACATCCATCGCTTTCTGCTATAATAATGCGCAATTTTCGAAAACTTATTTTTCCGCGTTCGACCTTTATTTTACAGTTAACAAATAGGTGAAGTGACTTCAGGTAGGTACCTACCTTAAATTGTAGGTAATTTCATTGCCTTCTAATTCGACTGGACATGGTGCAAACACTTTATAATAAAAAAAAACTGCACTCTACCAAGTGTAAAAAATTATATTTTCAATGGTTTGATCAAAAACTGTGTTTCTTTTTCATCCATTAAAGGATCATAGAACCCTCAGGAATCGTTTTACGAAAAACTATTACTTCAAGAAACAAGGTGTAGAAGTTTTAGAAAAAAAAATATATATTTAGATATCTTCTGAACAATTTAAGATGTTGACATACAATTTTGTAGACATAATACATAAATAAAATGGCATTCAAAAGACAGGAAATTAGGACAGCTCAAAGAAATTACATAGGTAGGTAGGTATTATTTTGAATAAAATTGACCTCTCTACTTTTCTATAAAGCTTATACCATTTTAATACAAATTAGCAATCTGTGGAAATGATTCAATTAATAAAGGATAAATGTAGAATTTATTTTAATGATTTAATAAAATGTGTTAGAAATGACGTCCCTGTGCCTCAACATATTTCGCGGTATCTACAGCGTGTCCCACTAGTGCGGGAAAGTCCAATATCTATGTTAAAATGAGGAATATATGGATTTTTCTTTTTACTGTGTTGCTACATTTCTCAGAATGTACAAATTAAAAATATATTCAACTATACAGGGTGTTCCACTTTTCCTGGACAGACACAAACTTTGGTTTTTTAAATGGAAACACACATTTTTTATATTTTTTTCGGATTCTACATAAAAAATAAAGGGTACTTTGTGTTCAAATATTCACAGTTTTTGAGATATCTCGCTTGAAAGGTTTTTCTAGTCGATATTGGTTGCTTACATTTTCTGATACTGACAGGTTATACTAATAGCTACTAAGCCCCTTTTTTATCAGGTGTTTAGTAAGGATGACTCTCCGAATCATGCTCCAAAAACTGGCCTGCGTTATACAGGGTGACCAAAATATCATGTCAAAATTGCCAATTGAAAAATTGAAAAATCTCGATTTTTTTAAATGCAACGCCCTGTATATTTTCATACCATGAGATGCAGAATTAAATTCTCTACAACTTTGCCTATACCTGCTCCTATACCAAAATTCATTAGTTTTTTATGAAATCTCATTTCTATGAAAAAATGCGAAGTTTACAAATAACTTATATGTAAAATAACGTAGTAGGCTCCTGTCAAAGGATAATCTGGATAATTTTCGATTCACATAAGGTTTAATAGAAAAGCGGCAGTAATAATTGTGAAATTAATTACTCTAAAGCAGAATTAGTAAATAAATAATAGAATAATTAGTAAAACTCATGGTAACTGTTTATTGGCAAGTCGTATTTACCAAACTAATAATCCAGAATTACAAAGATATCTTCGTACAGTGTTTTGTAAAACTGAAGGAGAGGTTTGAATGAACAACAAATACAAATTATGAGAAGACAACAAGAACACACGCATGCAGTCCCCAAAACAGTAAATTAACATCGTGCATTTCTAACAAAAGTAATAAAGACCTAGTTAAATTAGTAATTAACAGGTAACCGCCCAAAATGTCTGCCATTTTTCTATAGACATTGAGCAATTCTACAACGAAAATTGCTTGACACATTTCGCAGCATTTCCGGAGTTAGGGTCAAAAAAGCATTTCTTATCTTTGCCCGTAAATCTTCTACATCTGTCAGAGAAGTTTCATACACCCTGTCTTTTATATAGCCCCATAAAAAAAATCAAGACAAGACAGGTACCGCCAGTGTGGAATGTGCAGGGGCACCATCATGTTGGAACCACCGACTGTTTAAGTCATCCGGAGGAATATGTCCCTGCAATTGGAGCAACTCGTTTTGTAAAAATTGCCAATACCCATTACCAGTTAAGTTTCCTTCAAGAAAATGTGGCCCAATGACATATTCTCCGCATACTCCCGCCAAAA